GGCTACTTGGAAGGCTGAGGCAGAAGGATCACCTGAGCCCAGCAGGTTGAGGCTGTGGTGGCTGTGAGCATGCCGTTGCACTCCAGCCTGGGTGACAGAGTGAGACTCCAACTCAAAAAAAAAAAAAAAAGACCTAGAATTCAACTACTCAGGGTAACCCCCTCTCCTGTCTCCTGGCCAAATACCCCAGTTCTGCAGAATTTTCTTCCTCAGATGGTCTTCTCACCTCAGACACCCACATTGATTTACAGGGTCTCTCTGAGTATAACCCCAGGACCAGACTCCCTAATTGGTGCTCTTGGGCATACTCTGTGTCCTCAAAAGCTGGTAGATTCCCACTGTTTCCTCTACCCATTGAGAGACAAAACTCTAGTGACCTGAAAAATGAACTTACTTGAGTGGCAAAGCATTTTTTGTAGCCACTGGGGGGGGTGGGCAGAACTAGGACTCACCGGCACTGTTTGGATGGGGAAACTAAGTCCCAGGGAGCAGGTGGGACAGGACATGAAACCAGGCTTCCTGCTCCCTCCACAAGTTCTTGTCTCTGCCATGGTGCCCTCCAGGCCCTAGTCCTGGGCAGGGTTCCGGCGGGTTTTGTGGCTCTGTGCAACCTGGCTGAGGTCTGAGCTGTGCTCCGTGCCTGTGTCCCTGCCACTGCAGCACGTGGATGGGGAGGGCCATTTTTCTGGCCAAAGTGGCAGGGGGTAGGGTCTAGGTTCAGCCACATCCTGGAGAAGGTGGCATTGCTGGGGTTGCAGGGCACATTGGTGGTGGAAGGGAAGGCGGCCTCTGACATCGTTCCCCACCCACACTGCCCGACAGGGACGCTGCAGGTCCGCCTCCTGGGCTGCGAGCAGCTGCTGACAGCTGTGCCTGGACGCCTGCCGGTGGCCGCACTGGCCAGCGGCCCCTCCGAGGGCTGGCTTCGGGCCAGGACCAAGCAGCTACGTGGTGGAGGCGAGCTGGCCAGTGAGTAGGGAAGGGGCTATGGGGGCAGCAGGAGAGCCCTGCTCCAGGCCTACCCTGAGCCCCAGCTCTGGCCCTGCAGATGAGGTGCTGGCCGTGCTCAAGGTGGACAATCGCGTCGTGGGCCAGACGGGCTGGGGACAGGTGGCCGAGCAGTCCTGGGACCAGACCTTCATCATCGTGCTGGAGCGAGTGAGGCTGGCCTTTGAGTGGTCAGGGGTGGAAGGCTGCCCAGGTTGGGGGTGGGAGACTGCCCAGGTTGGGGAAAGGCTCCCTGCCCCTCAGCCTGACCCCTGACTATAGGCCCGCGAGCTGGAGATCGGGGTTCACTGGCGGGATTGGCGACAGCTGTGTGGCGTGGCCTTCCTGAGGCTTGAGGACTTCCTGGACAATGCCTGTCACCAGCTGTCCCTCAGTCTGGTGCCGCAGGGGCTGCTCTTTGCACAGGTGCTTACCACCCCTTCCTCTGACCC